ATATAACCCACAACCAAATCGGAATGGTAATGTAATAAAGCATACCCACCTTGTGGTCAAAAAATATTCCTTGGCTTTGATAAGCTTTGTGCTCCGCTTTACACCGCTCAATTACATGAGAACTACAATACTTCTGTAATACTTCAGTATCCCCCTGTAGAAAAAATGATACATAAAGCCATCGAGAAAGAGAAGATAAAATTTTGATGAAACTGGGCAACACCATACTGTGTACGTAGACTTAATGCTTACAAAATCTCGACATCTTAATTTTCTTCATAATTGAATTTAATGTTAAAATGAAGGACAGATGAAGAATGCATCAAATTACATATATTGCCGAATGAACTTTCAAGACTTACTTTCAAATAAGCATTGAGAACTGGTTTGACAACTTCTTGAACCTCAGCAACAAATTCAGGTAACGAGAAGGTTCTAGCAAACGCAATTTCCAATTTAGAAATAAAGACCGTTTAACAAAAATAAATTGAGAATGGTGTACTCTTACTGATCCCTGCGCCTTATTTCTTTAAATGACATGGCAGCATCTGATTCTCCAAGAACAGTTTCACTAATACTGTAATGAAGCAAGGTGAATGTCAGTTTTGAGATATGCATTTTGACCTCAAAAACCAATACACTACTAAAAGTTAAGTATAACAGGGTTGAAACTTACTCCTGAATTTTGTGAACAACTGGATGATCACTGGTCTCCCATCTCTCCCGCATATCTTCGGCAATCTGCAAACCAAGCATGAAGATCCCACAATTAGTAAACATAGACAGGCGGAAAATTCTGTTATATGGAAATCCTTCAGTGAAGACTTCATGAGAGGCTGAACTCAAAAAAATGCCTCAATAATCAATAATTGCAGCTTATTAGCAAGGACAAAAATTTGTCAACAACGAATTGAGAGTTGAGACACCTTAAATAGAGATACAATATAATTCACCAGTGTATGCTATTAAACACAGGGTGTTAAGGATAAAAAGAAAATTGAAGAGCATGGACTGTACAATCATATGCTTAAATAGCATACAATGAAAAGTGAACACATGGCATAAATAAAAAAACCAAATCTAGAGCATCGACTGTACAATCTTATATTGAGCTTTGTCAACGGAAACTGAGTCATAAAAAGCCCTAATCAACTTTACCAGAAAATGGCACAGAAAAAGCGTAGTGGAAGATGGGAACGGTAAAATGGCATTTCAATTCTAATACCTCCTGACTCTTTTCAATTACAGGCTCACTAATCCCACTGACGCGCTTGAATGCAGGATGCCCTCTCATCTGAAACATAACAACACAATATCAGGTAAAGTGTCAACAAACCATAAAAAAGCCCAATTTATTCAAGAATGGTTGTGCACACCTTGTTCTTGAACGCCTCCCATTTCTTACTCCATGGGGATTGTTTTGAAGGTAACATGACAACATCCGTCCGTGTACTTCTCTCGATATTTTGTGATGGAGCGGAGGTAGAAGCATCATACTCAAGATGCTTCCTTCTGTTGGGGTTACCTTTTAGTTCATCCTTCACAATCTCATAACCCTTCTTCACCAAGTCCACCGGTTTTGCTTCTTTTAGTGTGCGGAATGCTGAGGAAACCTTTGGAGAAATGGAAGAAACCCCAAACTGAAACTTGCTGAATAGTGTTTCAGCATCACCACTGGATTCAGCTTGTTCTTTCTGCCCCTGTTTCTGTTTTTCTTCACCGAAAGACGACTTGCTCCGATCTTTGTTATTCAAGCTTTGACAGTCATCTTGAATTGTTTCCTCTTGTTTTCCAATACCGAAGCTTCCTTTCACCTGAATCAAGATATCACCATATTCTATCAGTCAAATGTTGGCATGACTGCTATCAGCTGTGAAATAAATTCACAAACCTCCTCTTTAGCAGCAGATATCTTCTCTTCCACATCCGCATAGACCTAACCAGACAAAAAGAAGACTCTTCTTTAGTAAAAGCATGCAAGCGAATCATGCAAAAGTAGGTTCTCTCAAAGAATCGTCAGTATATATGAATTTTGATCTCTGCTGCTAGCCTTTCAGGAGAA